ACGTGGTTGCCATGGATGCTTTTGCAAATGAGTCGACTTTAGCCTTCTTAAGACAATACCGAGGTGAAAACATCCAAGTTTTTGATAATAAGTATCAGCCACATAAAAGTGAGACCGTAAAAATCCTTTATGATTCAAATAAAGGTTCAGAAGCTATACGTAAAGGTCTTGAGATGCTTAAAGAAGGTAAGCGTGTTGTCTTTTCAATGACCTCCTGCAAAAAGGCTCGGGCAATAGCTAATCAAGCATCTAAGTTGCAAAAACCAGACGGTTCATGCATTTTATCACGAGTTTATTTTAGTCAAATGGATGAAAAACAACACCAAGATGACTTTGCTGATATTAATGCTACCTGGAGTGGCCTTGATTGTGTAATCTATACAAGTACTGTGGAGTCAGGCATCTCGTTCGAAATTCCTAACTATTTTGATGCAGTTATAGCAATTAGTAATATTAATACAGGAGTACACGCTGAAGCATTTACTCAGATGCTTTATTGAACTCGCGATTGCCCGTATTGTATTGTTTCTCTTTACAATAGTAAAACACATTCTGAGATTTTTAAAGAACCAAATCGTGACCTTATTCATGCAGAACTTTCAGCCTTAAGACCTGGAGATTTACCAACTGCAATAAAGGGGCGCCGTGAATGGAACAAAATTGCTGACTGTTATATACTCGATTCATCTCCGGCAGTAGAAACCTATATTGAGGTTGAATATCAGAGACGCTTATCTGCCAAATATTTTCTGGAAATTCTTTGTAGTTTGATTGCTAGTACTGGAGCATCGCTAGAATTAATAGCAGTAGAAGATACCAAATTAGCCAAAGCTTCTCGTACAGAAGTATTTCATACTATTAAGAATACTGAAGAAAGAATCAAAAGTTCTGATGCAGAATTAATAGTCAATGCTCAAGATATCAATCCTAATGAAGCTGAAATGCTTAAGCTAAATCCTGAACGTTCTTTTGCTGATAACATGATCCTGCAACGACATTATTTATGGAGAACATATGCTTCAGGCGATATTGGAGGTAAGGATGATATTCGAAACTGGGGTATGAATAATGATGATTGGATCAAACTTTGTGATGTAGATTTTGTAGAAAAATTCAATAGTCCTGAACCTTTACAATGCAGAACTTTCAGCCTTAAGACCTGGAGATTTACCAACTGCAATAAAGGGGCGCCGTGAATGGAACAAAATCGCTGACTGTTATATACTTGATTCATCTCCGGCAGTAGAAACCTATATTGAGGTTGAATATCAGAGACGCTTATCTGCCAAATATTTTCTGGAAATTCTTTGTAGTTTGATTGCTAGTACTGGAGCATCGCTAGAATTAATAGCAGTAGAAGATACCAAATTAGCCAAAGCTTCTCGTACAGAAGTATTTCATACTATTAAGAATACTGAAGAAAGGATCAAAAGTTCTGATGCAGAATTAATAGTCAATGCTCCAGATATCAATCCTAATGAAGCTGAAATGCTTAAGCTAAATCCTGAACGTTCTTTTGCTGATAACATGACCCTGCAACGACATTATTTATGGAGAACATATGCTTCAGGCGATATTGGAGGTAAGGATGATATTCGAAACTGGGGTATGAATAATGATGATTGGATCAAACTTTGTGATATAGATTTCGTGAAAAGATATAATAATCCTGAACCTTTACAACATTTTAGGAGGCTGGCATATTATCGAAGACAAGGTTCAGATGAAGTAAAGGCTTTGGAAAATCTGAAAATCAAAGAAGCAATGCAATGGGAAGAATCACAAGATTCTATGAATCCGGCCTCAAACGATTTACATAAATTTTATTCAGTAAAACAATGGGAGGCAGTACGAGATCTTTTCCAATCAATAGGATTTAGCGGTATTGATGATACAAAGATTCTTTCTGGCGATGATGTGGCAAAGGCTTTTGAGCAATCATGTGAAGAAGTTGTCAAAATTCGAGAAGATGCACGATTACTCTTTGGCTTTAAGACCAGAGCTAAAGGAACGCCCGATCTCAATGCTACAATAAAGTTTATTAATGCAATAGCTGGAAATTGGTGTGGATATACTGTCAAAAGTGATGAAACTCGTGTAGGTTCCAAGGGGCATCAAGTACGGAAGCGCACTTATTGGATTGATCATAAAGCATATGATGGATGTGGTTTTGAAACTCTAGAAGAAATAAGGGCTATAAAGGTTAATAATTCTAAATATCTCCCTATAGCTCCAATTATTCCACCATACAAACCAGAACCGATTGATGAAACTCAAAAACTTTTTGATTCAATACCAACTACTGATATTACCACTTCAGAGGAAGCAAAGCTTCGATGTTCTACATCATCCATTAATGAGGTTTGTAAAGAAAGTTCTTGCCATAATGTAATTGAGGAATCCATGACAAATTTACTTCAATCGCCTTCTACGATATCAACTCAAGATCAATTAAATGATTTCGAGCAATTCTCAAGTATTACTGAAACTAAGAAAGAGATACTTGAACCCTTAATCACGAAGCGTCTGCCTCCAGAAATTTCTTTATCTTCAGAATATCTCATCAAAAACGAATCTGATATAGATATCCTTATCCTTCTTTTACAACAAAAATATCAAATGTCTCAAGAAAAATTAGATCAATGGAGAAGAAAGATTACCTTTGAATTTCGGGATAATACCAGTTACTGGAAAAAAGAGCGCGAAAGCATGAATGAAATTGATTTTCTAGAACATAAACGAAATTTTGAGGCTAAAATGAAGGTCCCTACTACTCCGCATAAAAAAGAACTGAAAAATAAATCTCTAGCAATCATTGAATATGCATAATCGTTATAAATCTTTTAATAAAGCAAGCCTAAGGTACTAAGACAATATCATCTAGTTAAGTAGTAATTTCTGAAGAAGAGAGATTGCTACATTCGACTAGATATATATCTCAGGTAAGGGTTTTTGTCGCCTCTTACAATAAGCATTTAGAAAAATTTAAATCAAAAATTAATACTTCGATAGCTAGATCATATATGAGGGTTTTTGTGTCGGGAAATTTCCATCAAGGTACGCTTCCAGGTAAGAGATCGTGTTACAAAATAAAATGCATATATAAGGTATGTAATAGATGACCATTTTTGTGTCGCGTAATTTTGATCAAGGTAAAATTATGCTTTGGACGTTTATCAGATATATACAAAATAAATTTACGCTTTGGACGTCTACCAAATATATACAAAATAAAGTTATACTTTGGACGTCTACCAGATATATATAAATAAAATTATGCTTTGGACGTTTATCAGTATAAAGATATCAACTACACGAGAAAAGATTCTAGAGATTTAAAACATAGCGTATTTTCGATAGCCGGCCAAAGTAAAATTATTACAGATATATATTATAAAAAATTATGCTTTGGACGTCTATCAAGTGGGTAACAATTCGGCACTATGTGCCTCATTTTTGATCGATATTCGAAAGTATTAACTATGCAAGAAAGATTTCCAGGATCACAAAATATAGTATACTGGCGGTAGTCACCCAAAGTAAAATTATTACAGGTATATATATATTATACAAATTATGCTTTGGGTGTCTACCAAAATGATAACAATTCGGCACTACGTGCCTCATCCTCGAGTAATATAATAGATAACAATTCGGCACTACGTGCCTCATCATCGGATACTTTGATATATTACCAGATATGTTAACAATTCGGCACTACGTGCTTCATCCTCGGGTTACCAAATAGGATAACGATTCGGCACTACGTGCCTCATTCTAAGATAACATAATAGATAACGATTCGGCACTACGTGCCTCATCCTCGCGTTTCCAAATAGGATAACGATTCGGCACTACGTGCCTGGTTCGGGCATAGATATGGTATTTTCCAAGAGTGGTACTTATAGGCGACCGTCTACACATGTTGACGATGATCATGAATGTTACATGGCGGAGACTGAAATCACGGAGACCGATTTTTTCGATCAATCGTCATTTAAATGACGTCGAATTTGTGGATCAATCGTCATCCAAACGACAACGAATTCGTGGGTCAAATCATAACCCAAATGACGACGAATTCGTAACCCAAATGATGATGAATTCGTGAATATCAAGCCAAAACGGGTACCCAAAAATACTTAGGTAACAGTCTAATCGTAAGTAGGTAACAGTCTAATCATAAGTAGGGAACAGTCTAATCATAAGTAGGTAACAGTCTAATCATAAGTAGGTAACAGTCTAACGCAAGTAGGTCGCAATATATATATATTGCGACCTACTAGCATAAATATCAATGTATTTTAGAAGGTGTAGCAGGTGGTGAAAGATTGGAAAGCATCTTTGGCTATGATCAATTAATTTCCAAAATGAATACAAATACTCAAACTATTGGATATGTGTTACTTGAAGACATTGATGGAAAATACAAAATTAAACTAAATTGGAAGCAAAAAGAACTTAGAGATAACTTGGCCCTTTTTTTATCTGGTTCTTTTTCAATAAGTTTTATTTGTAATTCAGGAGAATTCATAAATGAGTAAATATTCAATAAAATATTTTATTTAATTCAATTTAAACAATTTTAAAAAATTTTTTTTTCTTAGTCAAGAAAATTTGAGAATTGCTATTTCTCACCGGTGATGATTGTCACCACCTAAGGAATTAAATTTGCGTGGGGCGGAGTTAGGGTTGGTGTTAATCATAAATTGTATAATTCCTTAGGTGGTGACAATCACCACCAGTGAGAAATAGCAATTCCCAGAAAATTTTGCTATATCATCATCCAACAATCAATCAATCAACCATAATCATGAATTACATAAAGTATATAATGCATATTTCCAACCAGTTACTGTTCATTCACATAATCAGCCATCAACCATCACAAAGTCACAACATAGAGATACTTTACCATGTTTTCCTTATGTACTATTGAAAATCAAAACATTCAAACCTCTAATAATTTTTAAACAAAATATAATTTTATTAAATTTTTTTTAATCATTAGATATAGTGATACTTTTACATGTAATTTCTTTTGGAGCTTTATTAAGCAAATAAAATATTTGCCTATTTTCAAATACCATCATATCATAAACAACAGGCTTTGTTTTGTTACCACCTCCCATTGTAGTGCCACCAAAAAACAACTTGACCTGATAAAATTGGTAAAAAAATATTATAAAAGAATTATTAAAAAAAATATAATTAAAGAGTCTAAAAGCTACAATTTTAAAAATGAAATATATACTTGTTCATGATTTTTTTTTTCAATGCTACTTGTTGAAAATAATCTAAATGAAAGACCTTGGTTGTTTAAATTACGCAAAAAAAAAGGCACATGCATTGTAAGAATATGCATATATGGAGTAACATCCTCCTTTCTATAAAGCCCTGGAATTGCTGATGTAGAATTTATTATGCCTAATGTAGGTTGACAAAAAGATCTCACCCAGTTCTTGGCTTCAAGTTCAAATTTGATTATATCTTCTTCATTGTATACAAATTAAAAAATTGACACCATAAATTTTCTATAGCAATTCCATGACTTCCAGTCACAAATTCACTCACAGGAAAACTCTGAAGAATTTTCTTTTTTTCAGGTCCATTAAAGATCTCCAAGTCCAAGAAGCACTTCTATTATTATTACTATGATAAAACTCAAAATGAACATTTATATTGCAAGCGTGCAATCTGAGTTTCCTAATTAATAGGTTATTTATAGCTCAACACACAGCCTCCTTGCTGACTTATGGTTGATTCTATTGTTTGACACACAGCCTACTCGCTGACTTACAGTCAAAAATCAATAAAATATAACTTTTATCTTTTCAGATAAAAGGGTCCTTAGGTTCTATATATGTAATTATATTCCAAAGGCGTCCCCTTGAGATGTATCTTAATAATTAGAATTTTGGTTACTTGCTATGGGTAGCAAAGGTTTCCCCTTTGTGGTTTATTAATTATTTTAGAGATTATTATTTTAGGGTAAAATATGTTATGTGTTTTATTAGCGATAATATTATTATTACAATGTGTTAGGAAATATTAATTATTAGATCAATAATTAAAAGATTGTTATGAACATGATGATTCTGACTTGGTCTAAAACCAAGTCTTTTTATACCTCTTGGGGTATTACAAATAACATGACTTTTACTCTAGTTTGTCCAATAAAAATATGCTTATTGATAAAATAAATATTTGGGTCAACTGAGCATTACAAATAATAATTAATAATTTAAAGTAAATTTTTACATCAGCTGAAAATATAAATATAGAAATATGAATATTAATAATCGTACGTGTGATACTGCGCCACACATTGCGCAGTAGTTTCGCAAAATATAATATTAAAAATAAAAATAGAAATGATATCATTTTCACGTGACTTCCGCAATAATTTGGTTTGGTTGGATCGGCAACGTGGGACCTCTCTATCGGTCCATATTTTACTATCTCACAATATGACTCATTTTTTTCTCTATTTTTTTTTTTTAAACAGATCTTTGAACAAACACTCCATTAATACATCTGTTATTCGTAATAAAATGTGTAGTTCATCAGGTACATAATTAAGTAATTCAATTGAAGTGAACAATGAAGGATTTTTCTTCCCTGATTATATAAATAAATATAAATAAATTATTATATTTTATTTTCCATAAATAAGAAAAAAAACCACAAAATATGATTTCACCTTTATTATTTCCTGTAATTGGCCAAGAAAGATCCATATTATATCTGGTCTTGGAATTACACTCACAATATAAGCAGAAATATGTTGAATTTGGTGCATTTAAAACCCATAATAATTGATGTAAATTTCCAATCACCAGAGAAGTAAAATTCAACAGTCCCATTTACTTTGTCAAAAATCATTTTGTTGACAATCATTTTGTCGACACACATTTCATTGAAAGTTTGTTTTGTCGAAAGTTCATTTTGTCGAAAGTTTATTTTGTCGAAAATTATTTCGTTGAAAATTGTTTCGTCGACAATCACTTCATTGACAATCACTTCATCAACAATCTTTTTGTCAACAATCACTTCATCGAAAGTTCATTTCATTGAAAATTATTTCGTTGACAGTTCATTTTGTTGAAAATTATTTTGTTGGCTTATGTGTTGTACTAATGATGAATGAGGTGATGATAGTGATGGCAACAATATCGACATTGAATATTTTAGCATTGATAATAATTATTGTTTTTTAGTAGAGTGTGTGGATCAGACAAATTGGTAATATTCCTTTCATGATACATAAATTTGAGTCATTCGTATACTTGCAAACTAATTAGCACTCTGATTTTACCTGAATTTTTCTTTCTTAATTACAATCATACAAATGCAAATTATACTAATAATAAATAAATTAAATGGTAGTAGTAGATACTAAACAGTGCAATGCATATGCTATGCTAAATCATTAAATTGAAAATTAGTTTTTGATATTATTAAAATCGTATGATTAAATGGGTCTGACAATCAAATAAGGTTTCTAGCCCAAACTGTTTCTCAAAGCTCAAACTATTTTGTCAATTTGGGTTTTTCAACGTTTTTTATATAGAAGTAGGTATATTAGACCAGAAACCTTACAATAAAGCTATCAAATGAATTTTGTGCTTTAATTACAAAAGTATACTTTAATAATAATATCATGGATTAAAATATTTTGTGTTAAAACATAGCTCTAAATCTTTAATTATTTTTGACTAAATAAAATAAATAAACATTTAAAACCAAAGTTATCCACTAATTAAATTAATTTGTTAGTAAACCTATTCCACATAAACATAATAAACAATTGTTATCATCAATGAATTCACGCTTTTCCAAACATAATTGCTGACACTGTAATACATGCAAATTAACATGAATTGTTGTAGAAATGAACTGTCAACAAAATAAACTGTTGATGAAATGAACTTTCAATGAAATGATTGTCAGTGAAATGATTGTTGATGAAATAATTGTCAATGAAGTGATTGTCGATGAAATGATTGTTGACGAAATGATTGTCGATGAAATGAATTAGACCCAAATTCAACTGGCCAGTGTATATTGTCATTATCAATAATACCATGAGCTTTAAGAGAAGTTATTTGTGAATCAAATATTTTACAAACTGTTGCTAATGTTTCATATTTTTCTTTGCCTATATAAAGACATATACTAACAATAAATTTAATAAATTGGTTAATCTAATTTTGTTTCATTAGAAATAATATATATATATATACAGTATATATATATAATGTACCTGAATTGATGTTCTGGTTTTAGTACTTCATTACCTTCATTTAATAAACAAAAAGTCAACAACACATGATTCTTTTTTCTTCCCACATTCCTGCCATCACCACCAAGTTTTATATGAAGTGTATCACCTACAGTAATTACTGGTTTTTCACCTGATTTCCAAAATGGTATCAATACTTTAAGTAAAGTTGAAATGGAACGAAAAACTCCATTTCCTACTTCTACATCTTCAACCAAAATATTACTATTTATTTTATCAAAATCATCTTCATCTGTATATTGTTCACATGATTCATTATTAGTATTGAATGTTTTTATATGAATCTGAGAATTTATAATTTCATTAATTTCATTTCTTCTTTCTGCTACTAAATATTCACGATAAATATTAGGAACAACAGCAGCTAAATCACGATATCCATCACGACCTAGTAATGCTTTATCACATGCACAAACCACTGCATCAAGCCTGGCTTGATTAGTTGTTGAATTAAATTTAATAAAAACTTGATTTCCATTATATTCAAGCTCAATGTTACAAACATATACAATTTGTTGATCTGTTGAATTAGTTAATCTATGTTTAGTAATTATCTTATTGATGTTATCATAAGCATCTTTTCCAAAACTATTGAATCATTTGTTTTGTTGAGAATTAGAAGTAATTTCATCAAGAGGTTTTTTTCTTTTAGTTTTATTGTTGTTGTTTAAAAAGCTAAAATCAACTTGTAAACAAGCATCATGTAATGGTTTAATATCAAAACCAAATACTCGAGGTCCAGAAAGTCTAGAACACTTTTTCCAACCAATCATCTAATAAAGTAAATATAAACATGAATAATATTTCAAAATGTTTAATCATATAATTTAACAAAATATTTTACAAAATACCTGTAAAAATGAACTGACAGCTGCTGAGGAAGTTTTTGTACTATAAGTATTCCATTCTGTACATCCTTTGTTCCAACTAATTTTAAAACATACTTTTGAAAATGATTCATATTTAGTTTCACATCTAGTACTACAATTAGCAACTTCTGTTTCAATTATATAATTATCAGGTATAGGGTATTGTACTTTATTGTATTTATTTTTTTGAGTCAATTTTGGATTGGTTGGATAAGTTCCTAAAGAAATAACATTATAATATGAATAATAACAATTTCCATTTGACTCATAACGTGCTTCAATTATTGAACTGTTTGGATAGTTGTGGACAAAAATCCTACTAGAAAAATTTTCTAATAATTAAATATCAATTAATATATTATAGTAGAAATTTGTTCTAAATATTTGTATAAATTTAAACTTATAAAATACCTTCTGTATTATCTCCATTTTGAATTACTATAATAATAAAAATTGACTTTCTGTTAAAAAATTTATTAAAAGAATATTTCAAAGAATTTATTATACACATAAATAAATACCTTCTAAATCAGTTGCATCTTGAGTTACCATTATATGTCTATTTGAAAATATGCTTTGATTTGCTTCAGCCATTTCAAAACCTTATCATTATAATTATGTATAAGTTAAATTTCAGTTATGTAAATGAAAACGAGTTATGTTGATTCTTACTCAACCGATTTCAAAACTGATTCTAAGCTGATTCTGAGCGTAGTTTCAAGCAAGAGATTTAGATAAAATCATGTTTATTATTGGACGAATTTTGATTCTATCACAAATATTGATCTGCGCTGCAGATCAAATCCATTGTTATCACCAAAATTTAATTAGTGAAATGAGTCAGATTAGCCCATATGTATTAATTAGTTTTGATTTTCTTAGAATGTCGCAACGTGACAAACCTATTTTTAAAACACGTGACTGTAAAAATTTTATTGTGAATTTTCCCAAATTTGTCGCCGTGGCGCAGAAAGTTGTAGGGACTAGGTGTCCTGCACCATACTAATAGTCGCGGGACATTGCAGATCAAGTGTCATTCAATATAAACGTTACACGAAAAAATTTATTGTCGTCCACTTCAAA